CAACCGCACTCAGTGGGCCAAGCCGTGGTGACCCCACAGCCCCCCCCCGCTTCCCAAACCAACACCACTGTTGCGCCGAAAAAGCGGCAGCAGCAAAAACGGCGGGAGAATGTTGCCGCAGCGGCAACAACTACACCGCGACCACACCACCAACCTGCCCAACTAGGCCAAGGGGTAAGGGGCCCACCCACCCACCACGTCATTGCCTCCCATTCCCGCGATTCTGCGTTCGTCGCACAGGGAATCGAGGAGGCAATAAATCAACTGATCCGGCTGGTGACAGGAATCTTGGGGGATGTCCTGGTCTCCATCGCGACAGGAAATGACACCTTAACGGCGTTAACGAACGCCATTAAATCTCTGACCGCGGTACGCAATGGCGCCACAAATTAGGGCCATGTACTGGAACCCCGGAGGCATAACGCAGCGGCTCTCGGAACTTAGGATGCTGGTTCAGCAGCACAACATCCAGATTGTGCTGCTGGGAGAGACCAAACTCCGTCCGAGTCAGCCGTTCCGCCTATCAAACTTCGTCGTGTACAGACGGGATGAGATCTCCCCCGACCACGGCTATGCCTACAGAGGCACGGCCGTGCTGGTAAGACGGGACCTAGTACACGACGAAGAGGAGCTGCGTAGCTTCGTAAGCACGCGCTCCATAGGCGTATGCCTCCACGCGGGCGGGAAAGAGATACGCATGTTCGCTGCGTATCGCCCACCCAGCTCACCCTTCAATGCCAGAGACATCCGGAATATTTTTTCCGACAACACTCCTGCCATTATAGCGGGGGACTTCAACGCAAAACATCCATCGTGGGGATCGCGAGTCGTGTCCCCCGCTGGCAGGAGTCTATACGAGGACGCAGAAGAGGCGGGTTACGAAGTGTTGGGCCCCGACGAGCCCACACACGTACCCACCGACGAACACCAAGTTCCGGATGTCCTGGACATCGTGCTCTGCCACAAAGTGCCATGCCCTGTCCAGGTAGAGGTGCTGTATGATGCGAACACGCAGCACCTCCCTGTGCTCATCGTGCTGAGTCTGGCTGCGGACTCACTGGCTCCCAGAGGCCCTAGGTACAGGACCGATTGGGGGGCCTATTCGAGAGCTATGTCCGACTTCAGTTTCGGTGCACCCATCTCAACCGCGGAGGACGTGGAACAGGCCGCGTGCAAAATCACCTGTAAAATACAGGAAGAATTGCGCGCGGCGACCAAGGCGGTGCCACAGGTGCACCGAAAAGACACACTCCCGCGTAGGCTCCTCGATCGACTGCACGAGAAGAGGGAGCTCAGGAAGCTGTGGGCACGCACCAGCTGCCCACGAGTGAAGACACGTCTAAATCGGGTCAAGGATGAGCTGTCGGCAGCCATCAAGGCGTACAGGGGTGAGGGGTGGGAGCGCCGCATAGAGCAGGCCTCCGAGTCGCAGACCTCCCTTCACCACCTTAACCGGCAGCTCAGCCGAACGCCACAACCCATTTGTCCACTCGTGGGCGGTGACGGACGTAAGCACGTTGCAGCCCAAGACAGGGCTGACATTCTGGCAGAGCACTTAGAAGGGCAATTTGTGCCCAATACATCGGCCCCAGGCGCCATTGCGTTCCACCAAGAAGTGGAGCGGCACATACAGGTGTTCCTGTCGGAGCCGATGCCACGGCTGGATGGTGGACTCTTCATCACTCCGGCCGAAGTGCGTAGAGCCGCGAGTCAACTCGCGCTCCGCAAGGCACCCGGCATCGACGGAATCACGACGTTGGCGATAAGGCAACTACCGAAAAGGGGGTTAGTTGCGCTGTGCCGCCTGTACAATGGTGTACTGCGCACGGCACACTTCCCCTCTGAGTGGAAAACCGGCAAGATCATCGTCCTGCCGAAACCGGGCAAGGACCGACGACTTCCGGCGAGCTACCGGCCAATCACGCTACTGCCGCACGTAGCAAAACTTTTCGAACGGTTGCTGCTGCGGAGAATAGTTCCCTGCATCGAGCTACGCAGGGAACAGTTCGGTTTCCGCAGCGGCCACTCCACCACAGCGCAGCTGGCCCGAGTGCTGCACTATCTTGCGGCCCAGTACAACAGGGGCCGCATCTGTCTGGGGGTCCTTCTCGACATGGAGAAGGCCTTCGACAGAGTGTGGCACGAGGGTCTGCTGCACAAGCTGTTAGAAAACACCACCACCCACCGTGCGCTCGTGCGGTTAGTAGCGTCATTTCTTCAGGACCGGAAGTTCGTCGTGCACGTCGAGGGAGCCGACTCGGCGGTACGATGCATCAAAGCCGGTGTACCACAAGGTAGTTGTCTGTCGCCACACCTGTATGCGGTGTACACGGACGACATTCCCACCTTGGAGCAAAACGCCTCCGACTGGGATGAAGACGTACTGTTGGCCCTATACGCGGACGACAGTGCGTTCTTCACGTCTTCTCACGTCGCGGCGATTGCGGCGAGGAAAATGCAGCGCCAACTGGACCTGCTGCCCAAGTGGCTGGATAAGTGGCGGATGTCTGTCAACGTCGACAAGACGTCCGCCATATATATCCGCCGCATTAAAAAACCAACCCACGCTTGAGCTGCGAGGTCAGGCGATTACCAACCAGAACATCATAAGGTACCTTGGGTGCCGGATAGACCGCTCGCTGTGCATGGCTCCCCAGGTCGGACACGCCGTCCGACAAGCCAGAGCAGCTCGAGCCATGCTGTACCCTATCCTGGCATCCAGGTTACCGATCAAGACCAAACTCGGCGTCTACAAGACGTACGTACGTTCGCGCCTGACCTACGCCGCTCCGGCGTGGTATGGTCTGGTTTCCGCCTCGCAGAGGCGCAGGCTTCAGGCGCAGCAGAACCTCGCCCTTCGAGTAATCGTGGGGGCCGGGCGCTACGTCAGGAATGACGTAATCGCCCGCGATCTAAAAATCGAATCCATCCAGGAGTTTGTGGTCCGGTTGGCCCGTCGCATGTACGACCGGGCCGACAACGGACCACATCCACACCTACAAAATATCGCACCCCTACACGCCCGTCCTCCTGACGGGCGCCCGCTCCCACGAGAGCTACTGCGGTCGGAGGCCACTGGGGAGCCGGACCCGACCGCACCTCCGCCGTTGAGAAGACGATGTCGTCCACGCGTTACACACCGCGTGTAACGCTGTACACCCGCCAGTGCCGCTGCCGCGGTCAGAGCTAGGGATGGCCGTCGGCCATCCTCATCACCGACCAGCCATTGCTGGTCGAGATTATGTCCGAGGCATGGGGGATGCCCCGATACTCGAATAAAAGCAGGCCTCGCGCCAGCTTCGTACATCATCGTCAACCCAAAATCCGTCACATCCGTTTTCAGTAGAAAAAAGTAATGAAAAAAAATTTTTTTTTCATAACTTTTCAAATCTGAGTCGTGGCTATCACTTTTGTGTCATTTTAATGTACCGATGCACTTTTGTGTCATTTTAATGTTTGTTTGACGCTTCTGCCATAGATATTGTCAATTTTGTTAACGGGAATCGTTGAACGCGTTATTTACCGGCTCTACAGAATCGAAATTTTGCCCCTAAAAATCTATTAAATTTCGAAAAATAAAAAAGAAATCAATTGGCGCTAACTATAGCAAGTATGATGATCGTGTTTTAATGTTACGATCTTTTGTGGTAAGCGGATAAGCAATGTCGCGAAGGAGTAGACTAGCGTATAGACAATACTCTGCTATGTTCAACAATCTAGACCGTCATCATTTGCAATCATATACAGTACACCCCTGCAGCAACTGTGAACTGCTCGTTGTGGACTAGTTAACTAGCGACGCCTCGCTAAATGTAGAGTTGGTGAATTCAACATTGAACCTTAAAAACATCGGGCGCTTAGCAACGAGCTTGACAAAAGCTGGCGTTCAACAGCGAACTCGACCGTCATCACTTGCAATTATACACAGTACACCACTGCAATTGTCGAGCTGAATCACTACTACCTTAAACGAGTTGAGTAGAGACGCGTGATTAGATAGAGGAGAGTTTTCCCATAGCCTGGACAAGTAAAGGACAGCTAACCCCGTGGGCTGATTAAATACGCTGCTTAATTTAGACGCGATCGGTACAGTTCGTTTATGACATAACAAAGTGATTCCGTAAACGGGGTCACGACCCTCGGCGGTGTCGAAATTGACGCGCGAAAGGACATTGCTCGTTCCGGCTTTGCTCGGCTATCGAACTAAAAACGTTACGTAAAACTTTCCGTGCTACAATTTAAATGGATAGATATTAAACACATCAATAGCTAGCTATGATGTATTTAATATCTATCGTGATATGTGATATTAACTTAAGTTTTCCCCATTATTTTATAAGGTGAAAGTTAAACAAAATAGTCGACCTATTTTGTATAAATATTTTGTAGATTAGAAGTTTTATTTATTTTATTATTTTAAGTTAATTTTCACTAAATACGTACACCTTGACAGTTTATTTACATTAAGCACGAGCGGCACTGACTCGGAGACAGTTGTAGCGCATCGTTTGTTAAGCATTGCTCTATCTAGACAAGTTAATCAAAGCATACGTTCTATATCATCTGTCACATTCACTTATGTCATATTATATAGAACATTTTTAAACGTCAGTATGGTTATGCGTCATCTATAATATTAAATACTAGCGACCCGCTACGGCTTCGCGCGGGTGCAATGTATTACACATGTAAACCTTCCTCTCGAATCACTCTATATTAAAAGAAACCGCATCAAGATCCGTTGCGTAGTTTTAAAGATCTCAGCATGCATAGGGACAGACAGACAGCGGGACGGCTTTGTTTTTTACTATGTAGTGAAGTATTAGATTACTCAATAATTTCTTGTGTTAGTATATAGTTATACTATTAAATAAAATAATTTACGAATTTTTCTGCGTTAAGTTGTGATTAACTTGAAATAATAGGTACAGACAGACAGCGGGACGACTTTGTTTTATACTATGCAGTGATTAAATGTCACTGGCTGGTGTTGTTCGCAGGCGACGGTTTCATGCTGAACGTGTGCTCGGTGCTGCAGCTGTTGTCGGTTCGCATCAAGCTGGGGCGAGTGTACCCTTTCTACACGTTCCAGCCCAACACCTGGGTGGACATTCGCGACGACACTCGGCTCTACTTCACGTCGCAGGAGGCCCAGGATTGGCTCGACGCCCTTAGTGAGTACCAACCGAAGGCTGTGGTCGATATCGATTAAGCGTTAACAATTTTCGATATCTAATCGACACGGAGCGATTGTCACTTGGCTAGGGGCCCAGTCTTGTCTATGCTTCGGAGTCGATGCTTTTTAACACAGACTAGTTTGCTCGCCCCGCATTTGCGCAGCTCCATTACTAGGTCATATCTACACTCTCGCGTACAATTTATGAAATGTTTGTGTATAAACACAGATTGAGATAACTTTACATTTATTATTAAAAAAACATCGCGTAGAAATTTAAATTCTTATAGTGCTTATCTCTGCACTAATGAAACATACTGAAACACTATTGATTTGAAAAATTTTTTCGTCGCGGCAATTGAACTCACTAAGCTGGGCGCAAATCCGGAAGACGTGGGTTGAATTCCCGCACCGGCGAAAAATTCTTTTATTATTTTTTTTACAAATTTTAATCGCGCAGTAGTTAGGTTATGGTGTAGGTTGCAATCACTTTCAATGACATCAGGGTTAAACGACCTGATACAATAGTGCTCGCGTTCGACTCAAAAGAGGCGACAACATAAATCTCATATTTTGTATCTACACAAGCTTCATTATTACATTAATAGTCTGTCGCTAAAATTATATACGCCTTGTTTGTACTAAACTAGATTTGTGTTGGCGTTGAGGCTATGCGTAATTGTAGATTGGTACAATTAAACCGCCCACGCGGCAATTACGATTATCACTCAGTTCATTAGTGGTGTTAAATTTGGAAGGAGGAGGTTCAAATAGGAGAAACGAAATATACACAAGATCCTTTTTTGTTAGACTGCACGCTTGTTTAAGCTATCACCACGCGATTGCTATGTATTGTTTTTTATTTTATTTAAAAAAATTGCCCTTTAGGATAACATTATCCTGTGTTGTAACGACATTTTACATCTCACAAAAACCCCGGATCCGAAACAATTACCCGTGGGTCACACAACTAGTTGTAACGATTGAGAATCGAACCCACGACCCCCGGCGCCGAAGGAAATACCTTGGCAACTGCGCCAGGGACTCATCAATTGGGCGCCAAGGAGGACCAAGGAAAAAAACTTAAGTGGCACGAAAAGATAATATGAAAAAATATATTAATTTAATTCAAAACTGTGGACGCAGATTGAAAACTTACTTTTCGTTTATTAAATTTGTTTTAGTAGGCTTTAATCATGAGAGAACTTGTATTTTGCATTTTACTTATTATAGCGACGTGCGTTTCATAAATGTATCTATAGTTTGCGAGCGCTAATATTTATTTCGCTTCGCAGACAACGATCCGAACCACAAATGGCCGGAGGCGAAATTCCAGACAGTGTGTTGGTTCTTAACGCTTCATATGCACCACGTTGCGCTGATACCCGCTCTGCAAACTCACCAGCGTCGCATAAGGTAAACTATGGATAGAACGCCGTCTTAAGAGAATAGAGACTAAGAGAGACCGTTAAGATTTAAAGAAAAGAACGAGACTTCTCAAATGGCGTTGGGTAGGCCATTTGTGTATTCAAATTTAGATATCTTTATTCAATATAGTAGTATTAAACTTACATGTTGATTGACAAAAAACACTACTAAGAGTCGAAAGACCTCTGTTTCAGCTCTTAACACAGACCAGATAGTCAGATATAACTAGTTTCACTTTGCAAAAGCTTTATTTAAGTCTATTTTGTCTATGGGTTTATTTTATACAAAAAGTTCACAAGTTCCATTCCACAGAATAATTATTGTAATGCTATATCGACCGTTATTATACCGTCATAATAAATCATGAATCAAAAATATAAATAAAGGTATACTTTTGTTCATTGCATAAAAATTATCGGTCTTTACCCACTACCGTTCAATGCGTTGCTAAACGTGTCAATCAATTATAATTTTATTAATAAAATCATTATATTAATTCGAGGAGTAACATGGATAATTTTCTAATCAAATACCATGATTAATTACGTTGTTTGTACGGGCAAAATGCCACGTGTCCTTGCACTAGACAGCCTGAAAATATTATTTTAATTTCTTCTATTAACGTGATTACATATTACTAAATGAAATTTATTTCTGTCATTAAAAATAAACGCGATAAATTGTAAAATTAGTTTTATTTAGTAATTTATATTCTCAAAATTTAGTAAAATTTATTGTATTCAATGAAAGTTACCAAGAAAATTATCGTGTTTACTTATAGTTAGTACGTTGTGTATGTAGCAAACACTTGTTTTCCTCATTTATTGGTATGCATACCTAACGTTCCGGTCGTTGCTTAGAACGATTGGCGTACCTATGGTCAATTAATTAAGAAGTAATAAGTGTTATTTTTTTTATAAAGGTTGTTTGTAAAAGTATACTTTTATTACATTGGTCGATGATATTATATTCTTTAAAAAAATGTTAAAACTTACGCCAATAAACCCGTAATTGGATAACCATTTCCATTGATCACTTTAGACGATAATTAAAACTTATATTTTTATTACTGACAACCACTAGTAACTGAGCGAACATAATGTTATGGAACTTACAAAACCCCTCTCATCGTTGGAATATCCATTGGAGGAACAACATTTCTTCAACCTATTCCTGCTATTATGCGAAACAACATTCGGTCGGTAGTCGGTCTAGATAAAATATGTGGAAATGGCTTCTGATCTACACCTATATTCTTGGTTACTGCGGATTTTATGCCAATACTAGCTGCTGCCCGCGACTACGTTTGCGTAGAGGTAATTTAGGGTTGTATGTATTTTTGTATACTGTATCATAAAAAAATAAGAACAAAAAATTTTCTACAAAAAATATTTAGGGGTGGACCTGACGGTATATTTATTATAAATGTGGAGGGTAAGTGCGCAGCAATAATAAAGACAGTTAGCATGTGAATCTCGGTGTTTCTTTACGTGTTCCCCGACATGGCGCAGTCGGTAGGATACCATAGTTGACTCTTAAAGTTGAAATTTTCGGTGAAATAAAAGAATAAAGAAAAGATACGAAAATAATCTCTGAAAAGATACGAAAAGAACGCCATTGGAATATATAAAATGGAATCGGTACTTCCACCGCCGCCGCCATTTTATTATGTAAATAATATGGAAATGTTACGTCAGGAAAATATTTCCGAAGATTGGAAAAAATGGAAAAGTGCATATATGATTTACTTTGAGGCTTGTGAATTATCGCAAAAAAGTGAAAAAGCACAAATAAACATATTCTTACACTTAGTAGGGGAACAATGTCGTGAAGTATATATAATCAATTGAATGAAAATATTTTAAAATTTGAAAAGTTAATTGAAAAATTCGACGCATTTTTTAAACAAAAGAAAAACATCACTGTGTTAAGAGACCGCTTCTTTACCCGTGAACAATTGGAAGGTGAATCAATAGAACAGTATGCTTTTGAATTAAAGAAAATGGCGGCAAATTGTGAATTCAATAATTTATGTGAAGAATTGATTCGAGATAGAATAATATGTGGAATAACGGAAAACGCCTTAAGAGAAAGATTACTACGTGAACCAGACCTAACATTACAAAAAACTTTAGATATTTGCAACCTTGCCCAAATGTCTAAAGTACAAGCAGGATCAATAAAGTCGCAGAATTCCGAACATAATGCATATAGTGCTGTGAAAATCAACAACAATCAAGATCAGAGTAATTGCACCGAGTCTGACGACGGTCATGCATTTTGGATATCACGGCGAGGAACTACAGCGCGACGTGGCCCCGGTGACTCAGCGCGGCGCGGCCGAGGCCTTTCGCACGCGTCATCTTCATCATCGAACTTTACAAAATATAAAGATCAAAACAAGTGTACGTGCTACAACGCGAAGTGTAAAAATTGTGGGACAGTGCATGTAAATAGATATTGCCCGGCATATGGCAAAAGATGTTTGAAGTGTAATAACTTTAATCATTTTTTGCGAGTTTGTAAAAAAAGTATTCGAGTTGCAAGCCGAGGAATATTCTAATCAGGTAATATATTATTTTAATGAGCCAAGTAATAAATGGTCTATAAAATTGTCAATTAATAATGTTGATATATCTTTTAAATTAGACACTGGTGCTGATGTGAATGTTCTGCCAAGTAAATATTTAACGCAAGTAGGCATAGAAAAGGGAACTCTAAACAAAACCTCAATAAAACTACGTGGATACTCTGGAAGTGACATTAAAGTAGTCGGTCAATGTTGTATTAAAGTAACATATAAAAATGTTGACTATATACTAGATTTCATTGTGGCGGATGTGAGTTCACCGCCTATTTTAGGTTGTCAGTCGTGTCAGGAATTAAACTTAGTAAAGCTTACACTTGCAGTAACAGAAAATAACTGTAATAATAATTTTAAGTATAAAATAATTCATGAATACATTGATGTTTTTGAAGGATTGGGTTGCATGCCAAATGAGTATAAAATATGTATCGATGAATCTGTACGTCCAGATGTACATCCTCCGCGCAAGTAACCGATAGCCATTAAAGAAAGCGTGAAAAATAAATTAAATGAAATGGAAAAACAACAAATTATAACCAAAGTCGAAGGACCTAGCAGATGGGTTAATAGCCTGACAGTGGTAAGGAAACCCAACGGTGATTTACGCATCTGTCTGGATCCCAAAGATCTGAACAAAGCTATAAAACGCGAATATTTCTATTTACCAACGTTAGATGAAATAACGACAAACTTGGCGGGTTCAAAGTTCTATAGTACATTAGATGCCAAGAATGTGTTTTGGCAATTAAAACTAAGCCCAAAGAGCACTGACTTATATACATTTAACACAGCTTTCGGAAGGTATAAATTTTTACGATTGCCGTACGGTATTACTTCGGCATCAGAAGTTTTTCATAAAAGAATGTATGAGCACTTTGATGACCTGGAAGGTGTATGTTTGTTTGTGGATGATTTATTAGTATATGGTAAAACGAAACAAGAACATGACGAGCGCTTAAGACTAGTTTTGGATAGATGTAGATTAATTAATTTAAAATTAAACTTAGAAAAGTGCAAATTTGCATTAAAAGAAATTAAGTATTTAGGTCATAAAATTACACAAAATGGCATTTATCCGGACGAATCTCATACGTCTGCTATAAAAAAACATATGGCGGCGCCAAAAAATAAAAAAGATCTTGAAAGATTCTTAGGTTTGGTTAATTATGTTGGTAGCTTTGTTTCAAACTTGTCAGAGAAAACACATATCCTCAGACAACTTTTAAAGAAAGAAATAGAATGGCATTGGTCACCTGATCATCAAAATTCATTTGAGTGCATAAAAAAGTGCCTTATCAACGCTCCTGTATTACAGTATTATGATGTGAACAAGCCAGTAGTTATATCGGTAGACGCAAGTAAGAACGGGCTCGGGGCATGTTTATTACAAGATAATCTACCTGTTAGCTATGCATCTAGATCCCTTTCAAAAGCTGAACAAAATTACGCTCAGATAGAAAAAGAACTATTAGCGTGTGTCTTTGCGTGTGAGAAGTATTATTCCTATATATACGGTAAGTCAGATATAACAATTGAAACTGATCATAAACCTTTGATACATATAATAGCAAAGCCGATTGCAACGGCACCTGCCAGACTGCAAAGAATGTTGTTGCGTTTACAATTATATACATTTAATTTAGTGTATAAACCAGGCAAATATTTGTATATTGCGGATGCCTTGTCACGTGATGCAGAACCGATAAGTCACACAGAGCATGATTTAAAAAACTATTTTAATAATCAAGCACAAATAAACGCAATAATTACGTCAAATCCTCTAACAGATACTCATTTTCTTAAGTTACAGCACGATACACAAAACGATAGTGAGTTACAGTTATTAATTAAGTGTATAAGAGATGGTTGGCCTGAACATAAACAAAACATATGCACAACTGTGGCTCCTTATTGGTGTTATAAGGATGAGTTGTCCACGTCATATGGATTAGTCTGGAAAGGACACCAAGTAGTTGTACCTAAAAGTATGAGAAGCGAAATGTTATTATAAAAAAAATTCATATAGGACATTTAGGATTAGAGAAATGTAAGTTACGAATAAGAGAAAGCATGTTTTGGCCCAACATTAACAGCCAGTTGGCAGATTATATAGGTAAATGTCAAGCGTGCCTTACATTCAAAAACGAAAACAGAAAAGAAACGTTAATACCGCACGAAATACCAAACAAGGCGTGGTCAAAGATAGGGACGGATTCGTTTTATTTCCAAGGTGAAAAGTATTTAATTGTGATAGACTATTACAGCAAATTTATAGAAATAGTAAAAGTTCCCGCATTAAAGAGTGAAATTATTATAGACCAATTAAAAAATATATTTGCTAGGTACGGTATCCCTGATGTTGTTATGTCCGATAACGGCCCAGAGCACAATTCGGAGTATTTAAAATTATTTGCACGCGAATGGAAATTTAAACACATAACATCATCACCTCGTTATCCACAATCAAATGGTCAAGTTGAAAGAGCTATACAAACAATAAAAAATATTATGAAAAAGACTCAATTCGACCGCACTGATTTCCGGCTTGCTTTACTTCAATACCTAAACACGAAAATCAGTAGTAATTTACCTTCCCCGTCCGAGTTATTGAACAGCAGAAAGTTAAGAACAATCATTCCCTGTGCACCACGACTACTGCGTCCATTTATCCATAGAAACGTTAAACGTAAACTAAATCATAGACAAATGCAACAAAAATATTATTATGATAAAAGAGCAAGAGATATGTGTACCTTAAATGTAGGTCAAAGAGTTAAAGTGCAAAAAAATAAGCAATGGCTCAGCGGAGTTGTTAAATCATTAGTGGGTCAACGTTCATATCTCATAAAGTTAAATAATGGTAGAACTTTAATTCGTAACCGTCGGCATTTAAATATCGATCCTGGGGTTATCTCACACGAAAACGAACCACAGGGTGAAAGTCTACCTTATGATGACATCGATGTAAGGAAATTTCAATCTACAAACCCACGCCTAGTTCATTCACATCAGCCCCAACAAGCAAGTTCTGAACCATATGTTTCTCGGTTTGGCAGGATGGTGAGACCGCCTGATAGGTGGGGATACCCGGCTTCTAGTGCATCTCGGCAGGCATTATAAGAAAATTTGCCTGAGTATCATTTTTATAATTAGTTTCAAAACTCGTAGAATTTAAATACATTATTTTCTCTAAATATTTCATTTGTAATTTTTTTTGCTATATTTAATAATATTTTATATCCGTGTCTTTTTGATTATAATTTGCTTATTTAAATATTCAAGGTAAAATTATGTACAATGTAAATTTTACAAAAACTTAATCTATTTTAAATGTTATTTTAACCAATGTAATGAATATATCAAATCAGTGTAAAATCAATATGCAAAATAAAAAGAATCCATTAATTAAAATTATATTATTAATTATAAGTTATTTATATACAGATTTAAGTTTTCAAATTGTACTTTTAAAAATAGTGGAGTAAAATGTTAATTATAAAATAATTGCTGTAATTGGTCATAAGGTAGTTATATACAGATTTAAATTTTCAAATTATGATATAGAATGAAGTAAAAAACTAAAAAAAAATTAAAATATGTAATATATAAATATTCATTATATTAATATTAATACAAAAATCGCATGATTATGAATTGATTGTTTATAAAAACAAAAAATGTTTTTTAACTTTTGTTGTTATCTTCAACCTATATTTATAAAAAAAGGGGGTTGACGGTATATTTATTATAAATGTGGAGGGTAAGTGCGCAGCAATAATAAAGACAGCATGTAAATCTCGATGTTTCATTACGTGTTCCCCGTACTCGACAGACCTTAACATTTAGGGGGATGAAAAATAGATGTTGTCCGATTCTCCACCCTTGCCGATATGCACATAATATTTCACGAAAATCGGTCGAGCCGTTTCGGAGGAGTTCAATTACAAACACCGTGTCACGAGAATTTTATATATTAGATTGTTTTGTGAAAAATTATGAGAAAATAAAATTATATACAACATAGACCGCAGTTCCACGCTCTTTCTTCACTTGACTTTCCATATAAAGAGGTGCGGTGTTAACTTTTTGAGGCAAGCCTTAATTGTTTAACAAAATTTTGAACCAACGAGAGAACGATAAACTGAACCGTGCGTTCTATCCTCTATTAGTATAAATTGCAGTATTTGTTGTTCCCTTCGCTCAATACCTTCGTTGCTTTCACACACTCGGGAACAGCTTGTGCGACTGCTGACAATCCGCCTAATATCCAGGGCAATCCGGGACCTGCAGAAGGTGATAGAGGAGCTCATGGCCGCCGAGCCCCAGTGGCGTAATGGCTTCTCAGCGCTGCGAAATCGCGAGTTGCTCCGCCGTTGGCGGCGCCAACTCAAACGTCTACACAGGTAACATCGTTAGAAATATACGGAGCCCGGGTTACCACTATGTACACTATAAGAATATATACTCCAATCGAGTCCTCATATATAAAAAGATATGACGACCCGATTGACGTGTGGGTACTGAACTTGCCTCTTGCGCAAAGGCTTGCGGAGTATGTGGATTCGATTTTCCTGTAGTGGGGAAAAATATTGTATGATGAACACAGTGTTCCTGTTTTACAGTGGCTGGGTGTTGCATTTATGTGTAATATATATTTACAAAAGAAAAGAATATTATTTAGTACCCATAGTACAAGAATCGTTACTAAGTTTGGGACTAGAGAACGTGTTAAAAATGATTCCTAAAATATTTATTTATCTATATCGCTATACAATAAAGCAACCGTTCAGTAACTTATAATATTTTATTTAGTTTTATTGAACAATCAAGATATTTTTGATCAAAGAATTTGAATTGTCGGACCGTTAATTTGAATATGTCGGACCGTTAATAATTGATGTGGTTATATTTCTTTATAAACATTATTGTAATTATAAACATGCGTTACATTTTTAAATAAAATACAATTACGAGATTACACCTGATCGTCTACATGATTGTGATAACAACCACTCGAAGAAACATTTTACATTACTCTATGGCGTTAAAAATAACGACTAGTTTCGACTTTATTTCTCTATCATAGTCGAACAATGGCCACAGTTCAGTGATGACCGCCGCCCATGGACGTTTGCAACACTTGCAGATGCGTCGTCACCTTTTAATAAAGTTGGCTCCGGTTACTTCACTCACCTGGCAGTATAACACTTCGGCCGGCCTCCCACGAGGTCGTGGCCCTTCCCCGGACGGACCCGCCCATTTGTGCAACAGCGAAGACAGGAGAGCTGTTTTGTGGCCCTGCCACAGTAAAACAAATAGCGTTGATCTGTCAGTAACGACAAGTCCCTCCGGCAGATCGAAGCTGTGCGCGGAGACCGCTCTGTTAGACGGCGATCTGATGCGCCGCAGCCTGCAGTTCTACTCGTCCGTGTGCGTGCTGCTCACGCAACAGCTAGAGGCGGCGAGGGACGCGGGCCACGCGGCCGGCGCGGGCGGCGGCGGTAGCGGAAGCGGGAGCGGGAACGAGAGCGGCGGCGAGGGCGGGAGCGGGGGCGGGGGCGAGCGCGAGCGGCAGCGGGGGCGGGAGCGGGCAGCGGGCAACGCGCGCGGGCGCGCTGGCGAACGCCTTCCGCGCCACGCCCGAGTGGTACGTGGAGGACATCGCCGACTTCATGCTGTTCGCCGTGCAGTTAGTACATTGCTATTACGATAGTCTTACTCAAATCCCTATGGAATTCTGCTCGTTTTTTTAAATTGGATACTAGCTACCCGCCCCAGCTTCGCACGGGTGCAATGTATTATACATATAAACCTTCGTATTGAATCACTCTATCTAATAAAATACCGCATCAAGGTCAGTTGCGTAGTTTTTAAAGATCTAAGCATAAATAGGGACAGACAGACAGCGGGACGACTTTGTTTTATACTATGTGTGATTATTTTTCGTTTTGCGCGTTTGGGAAAAATCACGTGATACCCAACAGATAACAACTTTTTGAAGTTTACATAATTCCAAGTTATTTATTTATACCGTTATCAATTGCATTTAATGCATTTTTGCACAAACAGCGCGCGGAATAAAATTTTTGGTTATTTTGCATTTGGTACGCTAAAAAAGTATAATTTCTTACGTGCATACATAAGTACACACAGACGTTATTTTTATAAACCATATAATATTATATGCTAAGCTATCGGCTTCGGTGTGGGGGGTGGGGGGGTTCGATTCCCAGACGGGCCAAGTATTTGTGTGCCGCGGAGAAACTGCCAACTTTGAAATTATTTCGGACCTGAGCGTTTCGGGGTGACCTCACACCTAAATTCGTCCAACTTTGTAAATTAATATTGTATATGAAGCGAATTTAATTTGCAAGTGATTTACCATTTTAATACTCAAAAGTGAGACGGGGTTCTATCTCAACAGCTGCCATAGCAGCATCTCTGATACATTATAGCATACTGCACGAGCACTTGATTGAACTACAGAGACATATTTCATATTTTCTTATACTATACTGCCGAAATTGCAAATAAACCAGAAACTTCTGCCGAAACTGCAAATTACCAGTAGGTAAAATTTAAAAAGTTTTTATTATCTTAAATAGTCATCGAACATGAACATAGCCGCAAGGTAATGGCTATCCCATGAATTATATCTAAACGCCTTGTTGGAATCATTTGTTAGGACCGTGTCAAAATAATTAAGTTCAAAGAGTAAGTGAGATAAAAAAGTAATTTAAAGATGGAGTGAGATGAAACAATCAAATAAGTTGAAATCATCGTTCTACTAGATACGCGCCACAGATAGTTGCGGATTACATCGAGGATCCAGTCATCACGTGGATCCTGAACGCCATCTGCCACTCCCGCCTCCTCAAGAACCCTTACCTGATGGCCAAGATTGTAGAGGTGCTGTTTGTCATCAACCTCTCCGTACCGCTCAAACTCAAGAACGTCTACGAAAGGTATTTGATTTTTTTTACTTACTACTTTACTACCTTACTAATATTATAAACGCGAAAGTTTGTATGTATGGATGGATGTTCGTTACTCTTTCACGTGAATACTACTGAATGGATTTTAATGATACTTATCAATAATATAGCTTGTACATCAGAATAACACATAGGCTATAATTTATATATACATATTTTATATCTATCTTTCTGTCTGAATGTTACGCATTCAGCCTATTCTACACAGACGTAGTTGCGGGCAGCAGCTAGTAATTTATGTATAAATATTATATTATTATCAAAGCGAAACATTAGCAATGCCTTACCTACAGTAAATTGTTACTTGCGTATGCGTTATTTGTGTATTTTATTATTATTTTTAATTCGCACCATTTCCCATCCTTTTTATTTTAATATTTATAAATATATGAAAGCTGGGGAACCGAAACGTTATTTTTAAAAATATGACGACATCTTTATTCCCATTGGCTTCGGCCGCCGTAGGCCGATGTTTCGATACCCACACGAAACAACTATTTTTGAACCCACAAATAATAAGTTTCTGATCTGGTTGTTTGTCTACGTGAAATCAGTATATGTTAAAAGTCCCAAAAGCACAGAATAATGTAATCCTCCTACAGTAAAGGGCTATGTTTTCGAATGGAAAACTACAATAGTTCTTGTAGGTAGAACTTGTAGATGGACTTATTACCCGACCATCTCCACAAAAATTGTTTTTTGTGTTTTATTTACTTGTTATACAACTCTTTCTTAAAAAAAATCTACACTAAACCACATATCTAAAAATAAGGTATATCTTAGGGTCGGGATTCTGTAGATATTAATTATAATAATAAATATACTAAATAAGTAATAGATTAAAAAGTAAAGTAGTTTAGGAAAAAAAATCATATGTTACTAGGATTGTTACTATAGGAGAAATAAAGGCTTTTTTCAATATTTTTATTTATTTATTTATATGTCAGGTTCATGGACCACCCGATGTCGCAAACCGCGCTCCCCAGCGCCCTCATGAAGTTCTACACCGACATCGAGACGACGGGCCAGAGCACTGAGTTCTACGACAAGTTCACCATCCGCTTCCACATCAGCATCATTCTGAAGGGCATGTGGGAGAGGCCCATACACAAGCAAGTAGGTAGAGCGTATTTATTTTTTTTGGTGTGAAAAGCGAGCTGGCGGTTCGCCTGATATCAAGTGATAACCGCCGCCCATTGACATTCGCAACGCCCATAGGGTGCAGATGTGTTGCCACCTTAAAAGTGGGCCCCGCCTGCCTCACTAACTAGTCGAAACGAAGAAGTGTAATACAAATACAAATACTTCCACTCCACGACGGTTTTCTGTGACGTCATGGTACTTCCCCGGACGGAACTGCCCATTCGTGCAACAGAAAAGACTGTTGCGTGGCCCTACCACTGTCAAATGTTAAGTCAATATATAAAACTTGTATGATATTCCGCTATCGCAATACAAAGCGGGACCTTCGGCTTCTGAATGATTTTGCCGCTTGACTCCAGCAAACACCACGGCTTCGCAGAGGGTGGGACTAAGGTGGAATTTATAATTGCGTTTCGTCTGGTGAAGGAGGTAACCCCCTCGTCCCTCTGGTATCACGTCAATCTGAACTGTCTCTTGCATAATAAATGTGTTATTATGCAAGGTACCTTTAAAGTCAGGTGGGCTGACTTTGAAACCTTACAACTGAAGGTTTGCAAGTGGTCAGTGTAATTTGAAAGTATTTTTTTAAGCATTTAACACAAAAAAGGACGCACACAACTTAAAAACTAAGTTTAATAAAAAAAGAGAAAAATTAAATTATTATACTAATACATAATAAAGTAAAAACAAAATCAATGCTAAGTTCAAATATAAAGCTATGCTGTAACGTAAAAATTAATTTAGATTATTCTATATTTTTATCAATCTAGGCGATCGTGAAGGAGTCTCGCTCGGGACGTCAATTCGTCAAGTTCATCAACATGCTGATGAATGACACCACTTTCCTGCTGGACGAGTGTCTTACGGTGAGCAAGTTCAATGCGTTTTTGTGCATGATATATCTGGAAATCGCTTATTATCGCCCGGAAGGGTGAGAGCTAGACCTAGCACGGAAGAGTATAGAGTGATAAAATATGAAACTCTTGTTTGGTAGACTGTGCATATTGCGAGTATTAAAGAAGAACGAAAGAAAGAAAGAAAATACATTTATTTACCAAAAAAAAAGGTGGCACATAATAAAAGAAGAAAAAAAAAACTAAAATTACAAAAATTAAAAAAAAATACTTATAAATAATTGAGTAAAGCAAAAGAACACAAATACATAATTAAAATATGAAACAAAAATGAAAAGGAACTTTAACAAAGCAAAAAATATATGCGCTATGTTTGAATGAAATCTATTTATTTTCTTCCAGTACCTGAAGCGCATCCACGAGGCGCAGGAGAGCGGCTCCGGCAACGACGCCCGGGCGCGCGCATTGGCCCAGGACGAGCGCCAATGCCGCTCCTACCTCACGCTGGCCAGGTGCTCCCCTCGCTGATGCTATACCCGTCTGCTTCGCAGTTTATATCGCTCTCTCACATTTTTACAATGTAAGAAGTTGCGTAGCGAGCAGGTGGTTCACCTGATGTTGAGTGAATACCGCCGCCCATGGACATCTACAACATCCGACGTTCCGGCTTGCAGATGCGTTGACAACCTTTAAATAAGTGCCCTCCGTTACCTCAATCACTAGCAGAATCGTGAATGTTTAATACCACCACTTCACACCGGTCTTCTGTGAGGTTGTGGTATGTTCCTGGACGGATCTGCCCATTCCGGCAACAGCGGAGACTTTTGCGTGGGCTAACCACTGTAAAAGATTGTGTCAGCCTCCTTCATGTTGCCTCAGATTATATAATGGTCGGCTCTATAAGATATAAGATCATTATTAGATTCTTTTAGCTAATAAGCCATTCTTATATAAATGCTCATTGCTACTTATCATTAACTCAAGCATTCAAAAAACTGCATTGGTCCACCATTATTTTAATTAACGTGGAATATACAAATCCATTCATGACATAAATGATTGAATTTATACCGATATCTATACATATTCTTTGTCTTGTGCTGATATTGGACGTAAAAATTTCAGAGAAACCGTGGACATGTTGGAGTACCTAACGGTTGAGATCAAGGAGCCGTTCTTACGCGCTGAATTGGTAGATCGGCTCGCGTCCATGCTCAATTTCAACCTGCAACAACTCTGCGGGCCCAAGTGCAAAAACTTAAAGGTGCGTTGTCATATTATCGAGTTGTGTTTATTAGTTAAATGCCGACCCACAAAGGTTCGATCTAGACTCATACGACAATAATTGTTGCATCACAGCTGACGATCGATCTTTACCCAGCAGGAAGACTACACCATTAATAAAAATTGCATTAACTGACTACTGCTAATTGAAGTTAAACTTCTTTGCGCTGCATGACAGTAAATTTCAAGACTGCGTATTAGAAATAAAAAAAATCACGAAAAACCGTCATGTCCGTAACCCGTGCGTCAAAAAATTGTTTTATTTAAATGTGTCAGTAATTAATAAATATTTGTTGATAAATTTTCAAACAGTTGCAAAAGTCAGTAGTATCAGCCTATACATGTCCCACTGCTGGGCAAAGGCCTCCTCTGTACAGAGGGTATCAGGGCATAGTCTACCACGCGACCCCACTGCGGATTGGCGGACTTCGCATATCTTCGAAATATTTTTTTTGTTATTATTTAGAAAATATGCAGGTTTCCTGAAAGATCGTGATCTTTTCCTTCACGCTGAGCACGTGATAATTCAGCTAAAATTGACAATTTCATTGGTGCTGGCACCGGGGATCGAACTCAGGTTTCTCGAGTATATTAAATTAAAGGCGAGCGCCCCAACACTGAGCTATCACGGCTCTTTTTTTAAAAGTCTACTTTTTCTAAAATACTACTTTTATTCTTTTTCTGTATTTATTCATAAACAAATGACAGTCGATTATGCGATGAAGCAAATTTCGCTATGTAAGCACACATGGACACTTGACATAAATGGGTATTAAGTTTTGAAATTAAACCAATACATTTAAAGTGTATATGAACGGTCGAATTAGATAAATTCAACCTCCGCATCCTCACGACGTTCATCTGCGGTTTTTATTTATTATTTATTTTGTCTCGATCGGCTTTGATGGGCCTTCCAGAACGTGGTGCATCTTCAACGTCGAAATTTTACAATTTTCGCAATGCCGCTCGGTCATTACGCCTTCTCCATACACATCACATAATTTTCGCCATCCTTGAATTGCATTTTTACTTTTTTCGATATTAAATTATGCCAAATAAAAACTGAAAATTGAAATGAAACAATTGTAACTATTAGTTTTAAGTAAAATTTGACTTTGTAAGTAAGACTAAGCTTTTGCAGGTCCGTCGTCCGGAGAAGTACGGCTGGGAGCCCCGCCGTCTGCTGAGCCAGCTCGTCGACATCTACCTCCATCTGGACTCGCCGCAGTTCCACGCCGCGCTCGCCGCCGACGAGGTAGCAGACACAATCTGAATCTCATGCTGTCTCACTCAATCACGCCCTTACTACCTACACTATCTCTCTCTACATACTTTTTATAAGTGCAAGTGTCGCAAAATGCAAATTCTGATTGCCTGATTGAAGTTGGCTGCAGAGCTGTGTCTTTATATAATATATTAACGAATCTGTCCGATATTTGGAGACCTACTCTAAAATATGGAAAAAAATTGTATGTAATTATGTACCACTTGTAATGAGAACCATACAAGGCGTTAAAAATAAAAATGAAATGTTTGATATGCAAATGAGAGGGCGGCACCATCCTTTCGTAATTCGTACCACTTATGAAATTACACTGAATCTTACATTTTGTGTATTAACTCTTGCAGCTTGCTGCTTCATTCTTATTCCCAATCTTAAGGTTCCTAAGATATTCGATACATACTAATTCTCTACTCAACTTTAGCAGTATGTTTGTTCAAAAATATGGCTCTATTTATTGTTCACTTGTGACAGAGATCATTCCGGAAGGAATTATTCGAGGAGGCGGCTGTGAGATTAGCAAAGTCTTGCATCAAAACGCCCACCGAAATAGAGCGCTTCAAGGCGCTTGCTGACAACGCATATCAAATCGCTGGTGAGTAGTTTTAAACAATTTCAACGCAAAGGCTAGCATATGCATATCGTGTAATAGCCTAAACGATTGGTTATGACAGTACACTGAACCCATTCAAAATAATGAATTAACTGGTAGAAGCATGTAGCGAGTCTAGAGGTATAGGAATATTGTGGGCCTTATGTTTAAAGTTTCATGCCTATGTTTGTTTTGGTTATCGTAGTTGAACAATTTCAATGATTTTTCAGTTTCAAATCAACAGCAGAGCGACGAATTCGCGGATGCTCCAGAGGAATTCAGAGATCCGCTTATGGATACATTGATGACAGATCCAGTATTGCTGCCTTCTGGAAAGGTAATGGAGTAATTTCTAAAAGCCCTACCTTGTTAAGATAATAAATAAATTAGGGAAAAAGTAAACAATATCAAAATTTTACTATGTTACAACTTTACGTACATTAAAACATGTAGAAAAATTACGAAACGATTGTCGCCGCTGTGGAAATCGAACCCACGTCTTCGGCTTTCGCGGCCCGACGCTCTAGCCACTGAGATAAACGGCTGATAGCCACAGCGACGAAAATCTTAACGCCTTCTTTCTACTTTGTTATTTAGCATTTGAAGCAATGCTAGGCGCATCTATTGTTATATCCTTTCCAGCATACAAACAATTTCGAATATCGTTTTACAACGATAATTCGAACGAGAGATGTCGCCATCGCTTTTTATAAATTTTAAAGTTTTTTATAGTGCTAAATAAAATTTACGTACATTCTTTAATTTAAAAAGAAATATCGTTAAATAAGAAAGAGAATATAGTCGTAAAAATAAGAATATACCCTCACGTTTTATCATATTTATCTATAGTGTCTGAAGAAGCTTTACAAAGTCCATAAGACCGAAATTAACCATCAAAAAACAATGACAAAGACATATGTCCGAAAAGCGTAACCTCTTTCCTCAACAGGTGATGGATAGGTCGGTGATATTACGGCACCTATTGAACAGCGCTACAGATCCGTTCAATCGGCAACCCTTGAGCGAGGATCAATTACGCCCAGGTAAATGCCCAAGTAAATATTAATATAATTAAAATATTATAGAATTGTCGTCGCTGATATTTTACTTCAAAAATAAGTTGCACTAACTCCATAAGATAAGGTCTTCACTAAGACTCATAGTCTCAGCCTTAATAACCGTTACTTTGTTTAGTACAAGTAATTCCTTACATATTATCAATACTCATACTATATTTATCACAGTACCTTATAACCACATGTTTTGTTATCATTTATGTAAATACTATGTTAATGGACATTATATAGAGAATCTAATGCAAATTTAATTGTTGGTCTCTACCACAATAACCTTAATTGATTTATTTTGTGATAACATGTTAAGATAATAGAAATGAAGATTTCTCATGATTAGATTTAAATTCTAGTTAAATTAATTTAAATAACTAAAATGAAATTATAACCCTTCATCTAATTGTTAGTCATTATTATTTATATTTGGAATTTTAACTTGGTAATCAGTTTATTTGTATCATGAAATCAATTTTCTAATTAACTTATTTATAAAAAACAGTCAACAACTCATATAAATACCTTTTCTATTTTATTTACAATAAATACATTGAATCTATTATTTATTATTTTAATAAATTTTAATCTTTTTTAGCATCTGAACTCAAAGAGAGGATAATTCAATGGCAACGCGAGAAGAAATCATCGTAAACGTCCAAAGCCAACAAGTCTGATGTATATATAATGAAATAATACAAACAATTATAAAGACTAGAAACCAAGTATACAATCAAGAACAGACTCTTGTTCCAATGCATGAATGTGAGATTATTGTAAGTTATTTTAATGGGTGTTTAAGCTTGGTCAAAACGAGTTACAGTATTCTACATAAAGCTGCCAAATGATATTTGTTCTTTTGGATAAACCTGTAACCAGTTTTCTCCCAGGCATACCCAATTTGATTCAGTGCCCATTTATTAAGATAACAATATCATTATTTGTAATAGATATTTCTAGCTGTTTTTCTAGACCCTTTATTCGTTTCAAAAAAGGTATTTTAACTAAATTATTTATCCATGTATTACAAAAGTCAAATTTTGTTTTGTAAAGACGAAGATATAAAAAAATATATAATATCCCATTATTACTTAGTCATTACTAAAAATTTAGGTCCATTTTATTTAGAAATAAGATGGTTTTTGATGAGTGAAAAGATGTGTCAGTGTAAGATAGAAAAGCCAAAAATACCAATAAAGACATGACAAATTTGTTAACTCAATAAATTTAACATTTTTTTCTTTCAATTTTGATCCAAATTGGTATGGCATTTTGCCTTGTTATCAAAATTTATACATATGTCCTTTGACAAAATCTATTTTATCAATAGAATGTTCTTAAAAAGGCTATCTTTTACCATGATAACTTAATTCAAATGTAATTGATGAGTTATTTCGTCAAATAATAGAATTATTATAAGTTTCGCTTGCTAGTTAGCAGTTCAGGGTAGGCATAGCTCATTTGTTTTACGAAATTGGAAGTAGCCTTTCAATGGTATGTAAAGCGCTGTGTTAACATCACAGGAGGATATCATGCAAGGCCTAACTGTACAGATGATGATAAATTTAACTTGTATCAATTCCTACGAAATGAGGCTAGGCAATTGATCCTGTATATTAAGAAAGGAAACACTTAAATATTAGTATGTAAACATTATCAGTGCATTTTATATAACTACATTACATGATTATGTAAATTGATTATTAAGTTGTTTAGTCTCTGATTCATTAGTTTAACTAATGGTTTATATTGAAATATATGAAAACTGAAGGTATTTTGTTGAATATTAAAGACTTATGTTTACGCAAAAATTAAAATTAGATAAATTTATTTTATGGATTTGATTATTTCATTAGTGATTAATTATGTTAGCTGAAACAATTTCATATTACTAACTAATAACAATGATTTTGTTCCTTTAATTTAGTTAATCTTATGTGAAATGAATCTTCAATTTTTTTTATTTTAATTTAGGTTGTATCTTACAAAATGAGTTTATTTTATTCACTGCCAAGTCAACCACATCTAATAGGGAATTCCTAAATAAAAGCCATTTCTTTAAAATTTATGGTCTCAAGTATAATAATGTATATTTATCCATACTAATAATAATGAAGGTTCTATGATAAAGGTCTCTTATGTTATTTCAGTAAAGTATAAATAAATGTGCATCAGTTGTTTTATTCTATACTTAATCTATAGGTTAAAAAAAACTATTAGTAAGGTCATCCATTATAATTATTAAAATTATATAAATTTCAATTAAATAATTTATTGTCAATTTATTATCTAATAATAAATAACATTTAATAAACTTTAAAACACTAAAAGAACAAATTTATTTTTATATGAAATTCAGAGATACATATCAAGATTTCTGTAATGCCAGTTGTTTTTAAGAGGTAGATATAATGAGATTTCATTTAGAGACATTATTTCATTAAACTTATTTTTACACAGTACGTCCAATGTATAGGAATAGCTGCATATTATTCTCATAAATCATAATGATATAAATTGAGACATTGATACTAAAACTATTTCATAAGACACTTTCAGAAGCATTATAATAATATTATTTTAATAAAAGCTTCTAAAAAAGTGCATATTAAGGGCCTTCAAGTAATTTTTACTGAAAACGAATTCAATTGATACTATACATTATAATCTAATAATTGAGAAAAAAATAACCAATGGTGAGAAATTGTATTGTAATCGTAATTAAAATATTTGTAATAATCATCAATATCTGATATCACATATTATTAACTTCAGACAATGTAGGTATTTAGGAAATAAAATTTGTTTCTAAATACAAAATTAAAAACCCCATGGCTCATCATAATAGTACCATTCATACAGCACCATGAGTTAGCTGCTTTGCATATCTATGGTCTGAGAGATGTTATCTCTAACATCCATCTTAACAGTCACCACATCAACATCCTGTAGCTTCAATATTTTTTTATTATTGAAATTTATTAATAAAAATTATTCTACAGATTTAAATCTATAGCAAAAAATCATGCTAGAAGGCCAATACAACAATACTCTGCAAACAATTTTGTCGAACTTTGATTCTTATCCACACTACAACCTTTGAATTAAAAGAGTACAGCTGCCATTTTAATGCCATAATGATGAATGATCACTCTCGGTAGGAAATGATATTAACATGTTTTTTATCTGAAAGCAACTAGTTTATTTATACAACAAAACAAAAACATATGTTTTCTTTTCATATACAACTACAACTTATATAAATCTGTGTGTATAATTTAATAAATATTTACACCTTTCATTAAAGTACAATGATATATTTTTGAAAGGCCAATAGTCTTAAATATTTTTGGTCCAAACAAAATTACACCTTGGAATCAGGACTCAATGATGTATCCAAAGCTTTATTATTTCATAGAGTACCAATATTTTCTTTTGTTAATAATAAACTAATCTATGTAAAATTTAGTTATACTAGATGACATCATAATTGTGTATAAATAATGTGTATGCATTATCAATCTTTTAAGCTCATTAAGTACAAAATAACATTTACTTGTTATTTTCTTACTGCCTTGTGAGAAATGGCAATCGGAAAGCAAACAAACAAGAAATCATGTACAGCATTCCAAAGTAAAAATTTAGCCTTGCAGTTTGACGGGGCACATATTGCATAGTCTCGGGACATCTAAACCTCCTCTCAATATCAAATGCCCGAGGTAAAGTCAACATAGGTAGTAAGAACCAAAGAGAACATCTGACCGATGCCACAACAAACATAATGTAAGGAGTAAACAACAAAAATGCATACAACAAATATGATGCAGTCTTACCAATCAGAATGGCTAAAGTGACAATTTCTGCCTTACTATCAATTTCAAGATCTCTAGTATTGTTACTGTGTAAAATAGCTTCAGTGTTTAGTGCAAGTGGAATTGCATAGTAAATAATAGGCCAATCCACTCTCCCTGTTTGAGCCAAAAAGGAAAATACAACAGCCACAGGTCCAAATATGACTAGAACTACAATATCACCAAGAGCAATATATTTTAAACCTATTCCACCAGTATAAAGAAATGAGGATGATAGACCACCGAAATAAACTAATGCTAAATGTTCCATTCGAGCTGGTGACAAAATTACTAAGAGTAAAAAGAAAGCGCATCCGGCCATATACAATATAGCACCCAATGACACAACTTCATCAATACTTAAAATACGATCTACAAGAGTTCTGTCATCAGATTTACGGTTATCAATTCCTTTAACAAAATCAAAATAAGTATTCACAACATTACCGGCACCATGCACAGGTACAACAGTACAAAGTGTAAGAAGTAACGTCACCCAGCTGAATCCACTTTCTCCTGGTAGTCTGTATGATAATGCTGCACCTAATAAGGTGGGTAACAAACTTCCACTCAAAGACCACGGTCGCAGCGCCAACACATATGTCCTAACTTTCATTAGAGGATTTCTCGCCGAAAGAGTTTCTTCTTTTGGTTGCTGAAGAAGATTTCCATCAGCAGATGCCATATCATCTTCGTTCCTTTTATACGTTCTCATTTTATAATCTTCTAATAATTGTAGATAAAATTAATAACCTCTAAAAGGTTTGGTAAATGTTAGTACCAATAGTAGTGTGCTAGTACCAATTGAAAATGTAACTTAATTCATTTTGTTTTTGGACTGCATTTAACAGTTTTCAGCAAGTATAAAACAAAAAAACTTTGTGTAAACATTAAAAATTCTAACCACGACCGTTACTCAATACACAGATTAATGGTAAATGGAAACAGTGTTACCAACACCAACTGTTCAACAATACTCACAGAACACTTACTCAAAGAGACAATACTAATCCTAAATTAATTTACTCTTGAATTTAACCCGCTAAAATTGAATAAATTGTAACAAAAATTTCCTAAATTTAAAATTACGGATTTTTATAGTATCAAGGTATATTCAATATTATAGTTTAGGGCGGAATAATTGAACATACAAGACACATAGGCCTTGGCCTGACGTCTGCCAAAGCATAGCACAATTAAATTATATTTTTTGTTTAAAATAAGTAGTTTTGTATACTTTTCTTTCAAAATGTAAACAAATTTAACTCCTTAAACTATTCCTAAAATAATTTACCTCCAAAAAACTTCCAATGTACATTTTTCCTTCCTAAATTTAGGAAGAAAATTCCTAAGTTGACATCCCTGAATGGAAACAGAACGAAAAATTGGCAAGGCAACAGACAGAACAGGTAAAGACCAGATATTTCAGATAAAGACTAAAGAGTAAAGTCATGGAATAGAGAAAACAAGTGGAAGTGCCCTAGAGGCGTAACCCGAAGATATTCAACGAACCTTCGAAATTGCGATTTAATCGCGAAACAAAATGAAATAAAAATAGGTAACGATAGAATCAGAGTTTGTTAGATAGGTAGTGTATTTGCGGTGTATGTGTGTGCAAGTGCTAGATCGCTTGGGCTTCTTCCCTGTTTGGAAGATTCCCCCAGCCCCGATACCAAAAAATCTTTTGAGCCTTTATCACGGTTATAGACGGTGGGGAAATAAAATGATTAGAATGCGCGTTAATTCGATGTAGGGATCGTCTAATACTCTAATACACTTAAGGGGAAATGCGGGCACAGA